GAAGCAGCTGCCGCCGCCGAGACGCGGCGCGGCGTCTGCCGAGGAGAGAGAGCCAGCGCGGCGGTCGCCGACGCCGCCTTCGAGCTGTGTGCCACTTCTCGGGTGCACGACAGCTCTGCGCGGCAGCAGCATCAGCAGCCGCCGCACCGCCACCCGCCTCGCGCCTGTCGCGGCCGGAAGGGAGCACGCCGACGCTGCCGTGGTACCGAGGGCCGGAGCCCGACTCTCGTACAGTCGAGCGGCTCCGAGGCGAAGCGCTGACACACACAGGGCATGCCGCGCAAGGAGAGCGCGCCTCGAGGCCGGCAAGTGCGCGTACGTGCCGCGCGGTCTTGGTGGCGCGATTCATGACGGTCGCTCTCGCTGCCGGCCGATGAACCCTCGCCGCCCCCGCACCAGCGACACCGGCCGCGGCTCGCCTCCACGCGCCGGCTCGGAAGAGGGGCTGTCGGCGGCGCAGCAGAGCGGCTCGCCTCGGCGCTCGAGCCGCCGACAGCCCCACTCCTCGACGTGACGGCCGCTCCCGGAGCCAGCCGGTGCGCGCCCGACCCACGCCCCCTCTCGCACCCCTCCGACCCCCCCTGCGCGGCGCACCCGCCCGCTGTGCGCCGGCTCGAGCGCCTATCGCCAAATCGCGACGTTTGAGCGCAGCGCACGCGTCCCACACGTCACGCGCGCGCAGGAGAGCGTGCGGCACAGCAGTAGCGTGTACTCGCCGAGGGCATCGCGCCGAAAACCCCGCGCATTCCGCCCCAGCAGAGGCTGCAGCCTCTGCACAAGCTACACCAGTGTAAGAATGGTGAGTACTTGGGGTTGAGTGGGCTTGCTTGCTCCCTTAGCCGGGAGCAAAAATGCAAGAAAATCCCTGTGTGGTGGCGGCGTGCCGTGGTCCTCCCATCCCTCCCCCTGGCTGTTTTCTTTCTTTCTTTCATTGTCGTCCACCACAAAACAAACCCTGTCTGCACGTCTCGCGCGCGCGTGAACAGGGCTCCAGGCCCCAAATGACGTGTGAGTGTTAGAGTTGTTTGGTATTGCTAAAAATCTCTCTCTCTCCACCACACGCAGCAAGATGTCCATGGGCATGGCTGCAGTGGCGGGCGACGCCGCCTACATCAACAAACAAGCAGGTGCGGCTTGTTTTATAGCGTAGGCCGTGGTTCGAATCCACATGAGCCGAGGGCTCGAGGCCGAGGGGTGAAGGGGGAGGTAGGCCCGAGGTCTGTAGCTCACCCATTGAGGAAGTGAGAACTGCTCGGCCCACCCCGGATCCTGCTGAACAAGTTCCTCTTGTGGCTCGATCGGTCACACCGCCATCACCGCCGACGTCTCCCAGTGAGATGATGGAGAGGGGGGACGACACCGCTCGATCTATACCCTCTGGGGTCCCTCAGCGGCGTGCACCTCGATCCTGTACCGTGTTTGTTATGACCCCCCCCGGTGAGCACACCAGCGAGGGAGGGCGAGACGATCGAGGGGTCCCGTACCATGCGGGATCGACCCTATCCAGTGCTCAAGTCACAAGTGCTCAAGTGCTCCAGTTGCGAGTTGGGTCAAGACTCAAGTCCGATGAGTGAGCGTGTCAATTGGGTAAGAACAAGCGAGCGGCAGACAGCATCTTACTTACGCTCGACCCTGGCTCGACCACAGTGGGGGGTGCCTGAGAGAGAGAGAGAGAGAGAGAGAGAGAGAGAGAGAGAGAGAGAGAGAGAGAGAGAGAGAGAGAGATTTCTTGAGATGTTTGCAAACCAACAAGATCAAGAAATCACGCCTCTGACAGTGATTCGTTTGGGCTCGGCAGCTTGTCAGCCCTCAGCCGAATTCTTGTTGGCTTCTAAAAATCTCCTGAGGGAGGGTGTAGAGGATGTAGAGTGTAGAGCGCTGTAGAGCTGTAGAGAACAGATGTAGAGCGCTGGAGAGCGCTGGAGAGCGCTGTAGAGCTGTAGAGCTTTACATCCGGCGCGTGACGATGTGAGTCGCCTGTAGAGCGATGTAGAGCGCGATTTTGCTGTAGAGTTTGTTGTAGAGGCTCTACTAACAGCCAAACCGCCGGGAAGGCAGTGACTCAAAGAGGTTGAGCCGCGCTAATGGGGTGTCTCCGAGCTTACTGGAGCTCTGATGGACAGCCCTGACTATCCCTGACACACAGAGAGTCACTCTGTGACG